CGGCTAGCTAGCAGCAGTCAGAAAGTGGTCGAGCTTTTCTTTTCTTTTTTTCTTAAAAGGACTTGGACTTGGACTTGATTTTGTTCTTTCAAATTTGACCATGGCTCCCAAGTTGACACAGCCTAAAATGGGTAGCAGGTAATGACTCGGGAAGTGAATGTGGTTAGCGTGATGTTGAACCCATTACTTACCGAGTTTTTACAAATAAATTATAGGTACAGCACTATATGGCCGATATTCGAGTGAAGGTCTTGGTCAGATACAAGTACGTCAATTAAGCAGTGAGACTGATTTCATTATGGTCAAGACAAACACGGCATCTATGAAGCAAAGCACAGTTGTACAGGAATTCTTACTAGCCTTATCATACGAAGGGGAAATGCAACCTAAAAACTTTGCTATGTCAGGGCAAACCAGGCCTTGAGCCTTGGCTGGCATCAGGTCTAGGAGGGAAGTTCAGACAGGCGGGCAGTTAGAGCACAGCTCTTCTGATACGCAGCTTCTGCAGCGTGCTTTGTTCCAAACGTAGTAGTAGTGTTACCTTTCGTTTGAAGAAAGCAATACAGAGGGATCAGGATGCACGAGCAATAAATGGTCTCTGAAATACTGCCCAGGCTTTGTGCTATTGGAGGAGGAACTTTTCGCCATTGGCTGTGAGTCCTATGCCTCCTCGTAGCACAATATAACCAGACCGGCTCCTGCTGACTTTCCGTGCTGCTGGCGTCACCGGGTCGGGCTAACGAAGTGTTATCGCAGCGGTTCTCAAACTGGGTGCCGATGCACCCTGGGGTGCCGTGAGAGTGTACCAGGGGTGTACCACGGCAATAATAAAAGACGGCTAAAAATTGTGAAATCATTAAAGAAGGTATGTAGATACTCACAAGTTAAAATTCAAGTTGTCTTCCCTAGCCACTGTTGAAAATTTGTGTTTGAGAACCGCTGCGTTAACGCATCGTTAGCCCAACGCGGTGACGTCAGCAGCACGGCCCGTCAACTACAGCCGATTGTGGTATAACACCATGGTCTGGAAAGAAATAAAGGGAGCCTACAATAGAAGTGAAGTGACATTAAACAGTTATCCTCACCGACACCGGACACAGGTTAGTCCAGTCTAGGGTAGCCATCACGGGTGTCCGAGGGCGAGGTATCTGGGAAGGTCTAGTTGGTCGGCCATCCAGGCTGAGATCTTTTAGTCTCACAGTCAAACCTTCGGGCTCTCCGTGTGGGCTTCAGGGCCCAAGTTTCGGGCGGGGGGGGGGGCCGCACGGGACAAGCATGTCGTAAGAGTCGACTAATTAGGAAAGTTTCCTTCGAAGTCAGATGTGCCTGAGAGGCGAGGAACCAACAGTCTGCATACACAAATCTAAATCTGTAAATCGGATGTGCACGCAAAACTCAGATTCTCACGTGATATTTTCTTAAAAGCCTCTGTTTTATTCCCAGATATTTTATATTAGATTGTAGACATGCATACACTGACGGCCCAGACAGTATTTTTTTTTTTTTTTAGAATGGCGCGTATTTGGTTTTAATTTACCGACTAATTTTCCTCTCGAAAGTTAGTGGTTCGGTGTAGTTTTAGGCTCACTGTTGCATTGTAGTAGGTTCAAACCCGAACGCAGCTGGCTTTTTTGTTTCAAAACAAAAAATCATCTTTGCTTCCAGATCGACCCATTCTCAAAGCGGTACCAGGGAAAGTCTTGGGAAGTAAATGCTACCGACGTGCTGTTGACCATATCACCCACAGAGGGCCGATTGGTCTGTAAAATATAGGTCTAACCCAGTATCCCTAATACGCCTGAAGCCGGGGAAAGGGTCCTTTATACTGTTGTTTATGACCTCAGCAAAGTCCTTCTGGAATTGTGTACAAAGTTAGATGTGTGTACCTTTACAGGACGTTGCAGAAACCAACCCCAGCATTTATTTTAATGTGATTTCGCCAGGCAATTTTATGCTCAGTAGTTTGCTATTGCTTTAAACGGTCGGCTTTTGATATTATTGTTGAAACCAAAGCAGGGCGGTCTGTTGCCAAACTGTCTATAGCTGTGATCCAGAATCCGGGAATTACGAAGTACGTTACACGCGCACTGTCCCCCGTATATATTTCGGGGCCTCATTTTACCCACTGCACCCTAACATTCCATGTCGAAACAAAAAGCTAATTATATGTGCTTTTTTTTTTTTACGCTGAAGTACGTCTGCCTTAGAGGCGAGAAACCAACAGTCTGCACACAGTTCTGGGATCAATACCAAAGATCAGAAATGGACGAACAATCAATGTCCCGCCTGAATTTACACCGGTCAATGCGAAGAAGAAAAAGAAGAAGAAGATGATGTTTCTTTGTGTTGAGTTGGTAGGCTGTATTGTGTTGCAGTGGATTTTTTTTTTTTTTTTTTTTTAGTTGAGGTTGAGGAGGGGGTGGGGAGAGTGGAATGGGGCAAGCTGTTGCAGTATTTGCTTTTAATAATGCATCGTGTGTTAATTTTGTCATCCAATTTATCAAGAGTGCGGCTTTAAAAGAACTTAACTTTGAGAATAACTAGAAGCACACACGAATGAAGTAGAAAATATTGAACATTTAGCTGTTGTTTTTAAAATATCTGACAGTGTATATTAAAAATATGCACTCCAGTCGCGAACTGAATATAAATAATTTTAACTTTATAGAACCATGTTGTGTAAAACTAAAAGCAAATACTGTCGAGTTTACAACATTTAACTCACATTGTGTCTTTCCCTCCATACTATTTATTTTGTCGAATTACCACAGACACAAACACATTTTCCAGAACAATTATCACTTTTAATCCTTAGGGTGTTAACAGCCCTGAGTGTTCTGGTTTTGTTACGAGAATAAAATAAATTGCTATTTGTTTGTGGAAACCAAACAAATATTTAAAACTCACCGAAACAACAAAACAAATAATGTTGTCTTTTAAATCATCATTTTCACCCAATCTTGCTGTGTATACGACGCAAAAAGATCGCAGACGATTTCTATTCTGTTCAGTCTTCTCAATATTCTGTATGTCTATACCCCGACACTTGGTCAGACGTCACGAACTAACGCAATACAACGAATGCTAAGGTCGAGTAACTTTTTTCGGTAAAAGTAACTGATTGATAGTTTCTTAACCTGTCACCTTGGCACAGGGTTACGGGGTGTGTTCCGCAATGCCGTTGATATCGCGTGTTGTATTTTTCAGCACGCCAGCGCTTTTAATACTCCAAAAACATAGACAAACTAGTCCTAACATACTTCCTCCCCAGAGAGTGCTTCAACCTATGTCACAGGCATTCTCTTTCTCGGAATGAAAACGTAAATGCAAGACATCACAGAAAGCAAGCAACAGAGTGGGACACACCCGTAACTTTCAGGAAAGTAGACCAGCCCAACAAACTAGTGAATGAAAAGTGACCTACTCTATTTGGGAGATTAACGTGACCCTAACCCATTTTGCACTAAGGATAACAACGGCTACACTCGTTAACAGGCAGAACGTTATGTTAATTAAGTTGCTAACTGGCTAGGTCTCTTACGAGATACGCCTGGCCAAACTAGAACTGAGGATGATCCACGAGGAAAACAGCAGGAAGATAAGAGCAGGAGGATTACATTAGGACGCAGAAAAGGATGGAACGGTCTGTCTTTGAGGAAAGGAACATTTAGCCAGATAGCTGACGCACATACCAGAATCTTAGCTATGAAAGTGGTGCAAATAAACCAGAACACAAATATAACCGGAGCCTGTTGGCGGTTGAATGTGGTTGAGTGTTTTTTTTTTTTTTTTTTTGTGTTTTTTTGCAGAACGGAATCGTAATTAACAGGCAGAAGTCGCTAAAACTGTAGAATATTGAACTTTTGTCAATCGACGAAATCATTGTTGACGGGCAACACAACATCGTTTATTGGTAGCGGCTTCTCACATGTCAATCAATATTGAAATGAGTTTGCTGTGTCAACATTCCTGGACTGCGAGTAAGGTAACTTAGTCATAGTTTTAGTCAAGGTTTCAACTTCACTGTGATCGAGTTTCCCCATACTTCCTCCGTTCCTGTGCCAATGCAAATCAATTGGACTGTCCCATTCGAAAAACCAATGAGCAAACAATTACTCCTGGAACAATCCAGAAATATGCAAGCTCAGTAGATGCATCTGACAGTTGCTATAGTCGCCAAAGCTTTAAATGTAAAGTCAAATGTGGGAGTGGTAGTCTTGCCTCATAGTCCACATTAAAAACGTTGATACTCTAATATTCTGAGGCCGGTTTTCTCTCAGACGTCTGCGTTTGGTTTATATCAAACAACGCCGTCTCTAATAAATAGAGAAGGCCGTACCCACCAATAGGTGTTTCGTCCTTTTAGTACGAAATTTTTTGTTATTTGAAACCCACCCTGGCTTTTTCCAGGGGCCGCAATATAGGCAGGCCATAAATATGGCCAATTGTCCTTAACGCGGTTTCTGGGACCTCTCCACGGCGATCCTCATCCACATGGTGGCACTTTGTGTCATCGGGTGTTTATCGCTTGTGTGATGTCCTGGTGGGGTAGAAAGTCAGTCAGTCATATCAAACTACCACAGTCTATCTTTCACCGTCTGCCTCCAAAGGAGTCTCTCTGCTGCTGATCTCTACAAAGTGTACTTGTCAATGTTGATATCTTTCATGTCGCGTTTGTATATGTCCTTATAGCGTAGCATTGGCCTTCCTGTAGATCTTATCCCTCTCACCAGTTTACCATACAGGAGATCCTTAGGAATGTGACCGCCATCTGTGTAAGAGACATGTCCCAACCATAAGTCGAAAATGACGTGTAAATAATGGGGAAATACAATTGTTTTACTACAAAACCGTACTGATCCCTAACGAAAACTTAAAAAGTAGTTTGGATTTTCGAGCGATCTGAAACTTTACCTAGGTCAGGTCGAGTTCGTGAGAAAGGGTGGGCGATCCGTGTCGGACGATCTTATTGCTGGCCGGAGTTGGTTGCATCTTGTAAAATGGGAGAATTCAAAAGTGATTTACTTGTGAGTGCTAGTTTATACATTTTGCTTATAATTAAATGGCATATGCTGTAGTGTCTCCTTGGTTTCAGAGCAGACAAATTAATTTTGCAGTGACTCATCACAATTGAGAAGCATAAAAGTCACATTGAAAGATGGCGCTGCCTCACTCGTCAGCACAACGGGGCATTTTTTACTGTCAGGACAGTCCTTACCGTATCAAATAGAAACACAGAGCCGTTCAAGTTAATCAGTTAAACGTTTTTTACAAGCAAAACCTTACAAACTGGCGCCATCTGTCAGTTGCATAGAATGCTGTGAGCTGTTTTATCAGTTGTCAGTTGCAGTTAATATCTGACTAAAGAGTTCACTCAGTCACTACCCTCCAATTAGAGGAGACTAGAAGAGGGTCTCTGTCTCTAACTGAACTCTAGATCAGGGGAAAACTACTCACCGCTTTTAGGACTGTTCATGAGCCTTGCGATTTCAGCTGCATAGCTAATGCAAGTAGCATAAACTGTGCAAGTTAGCCCGAACTTAAGAAAAAAAAAAGCTCACAAGTAATACTGAACTGAAATATTATTGGCTCTCCTTTAAATAACGGTCGCTAGCTGGAAAGCCGACGGTCGCTTAGTCGGAGTACGCTCCCTTGCAAATACGGAGTGTAAAGAGGGAACGAAACAAATGACATACTTACCTGTCATCATACGGTTGCGTAGGGTATAGGTTAGGGTTAGATGTGAAAATTTTGACGCAGGAGTTCCAAATACTGGCCGACAATCTGATGCTTGTGGGAGTGGCGCCACTGGACTTCTCCTAAATATGATGGCAATAGCGCGCGGCTGGTGCCCAATTGATGGCGAATTGTCCGTTTGAGTAGCATCCACAGTCCTTCAATTGTTTGGGTCTGTATGTCACTGTGTGCGATGATTTGGAACTCCTGCGTCAAAATTTTCACATCTAACCCTAACCCAAACCCTACCCCTAACCACACACACTTATCGGTCATTAAGGCATACAGATCTGCAGGAGTCACATCCGTGGCAACTAAGTCATGCGTCGCAAGAACGTGGTTGCTAATGTGAGTCGGAGCTCAATGTCTAACTGCCATGTTGACCTTGTTTTTGATTCGTGACTTTTCCACTCTGTATTTGCAATGCAGCCAAGGGAGCTCACTCCAACTAAGCGACCATCGGCTTTCCAGCTTGCGACTCTTTTTTTAAGGAGAGCCATATTATTTTATGTCTGACCTGTTCTGATTTTAGTTTGCCTACTTCATGGCTGTTAAAATGGCAAATCATTGCCAGTTTTATTCATTAATGATCTTTCTTTGTTAGGGCTCTTTTCTCTGGCCCGTGGTGATCCCAATTGTTTGTATTTACTGCAATAGCCTTAGCATTGCTGCTTGCAGAACAAATTCATCATAAGATTGTTCATGTAACTACCTACCTGCTGTTTTCTAAAACCTGTGTTTGTGATCTCCTCTTGCCACCTGATGCCATGTATTCTTTGTAGACATTGTACTGAAAGCTAGATGGCGCTACCTGTGTTTGTGATCTCCTCTTGCCACCTGATGCCATGTATTCTTTGTAGACATTGTACTGAAAGCTAGATGGCGCTACCTGTGTTTGTGATCTCCTCTTGTCACCTGATGCCATGTATTCTTTGTAGACATTGTACTAAAAGCTAGATGGCGCTACCTGTGTTTGTGATCTCCTCTTGCCACCCGATGCCATGTATTCTTTGTAGACATTGTACTGAAAGCTAGATGGCGCTACCTGTGTTTGTGATCTCCTCTTGCCACCCGATGCCATGTATTCTTTGTAGACATTGTACTGAAAGCTAGATGGCGCTACCTGTGTTTGTGATCTCCTCTTGTCACCTGATTGCCATGTATTCTTTGTAGACCTTGTACTGAAAGCTAGATGGCGCTACCTGTGTTTGTGATCTCCTCTTGCCACCCGATGCCATGTATTCTTTGTAGACTTGTACTGAAAGCTAGATGGCGCTACCTGTGTTTGTGATCTCCTCTTGCCACCCGATGCCATGTATTCTTTGTAGACATTGTACTGAAAGCTAGATGGCGCTACCTGTGTTTGTGATCTCCTCTTGTCACCTGATGCCATGTATTCTTTGTAGACATTGTACTGAAAGCTAGATGGCGCTACCTGTGTTTGTGATCTCCTCTTGCCACCCGATGCCATGTATTCTTTGTAGACATTGTACTGAAAGCTAGATGGCGCTACCTGTGTTTGTGATCTCCTCTTGCCACCCGATGCCATGTATTCTTTGTAGACATTGTACTGAAAGCTAGATGGCGCTACCTGTGTTTGTGATTTCCTCTTGCCACCCGATGCCATGTATTCTTTGTAGACATTGTACTGAAAGCTAGATTGCGCTACCTGAGTAACTTTCAGTACAGACCACATGACACACCATATCAAGGATATTGTAGAATCGTAACAAAACCATTGAAAAAAAAATAAGTTTAATGGTTAATTACAAACACATTATTGCAAAATATTGTACATGTAATAGTATAGATCATAACAGTCTGAAGAGAATAGTGCTGCGAGGAGTTACAAGGGGATCTGACCGACGCTCAACACTCAGGGGAAAGGCAGGACATATATACAGACAGTTACTGGTGCCATCAGAATTGGAATTCTTCGCTTGCTGCCAAAGATGGAGACGGGGTGCTTGTGGAAGTTTTCTGAGTGCAATTATGTTGATTCTTAATTCAACATTCAATATTGGACCAGTCCATGATAAATTCACAGATTACTGAATGTTTCTGACTATATTAGTAACATAATTTGGTGTGCTTACTTTACTTGGTCATTCTATTTAAAGTTAGTTGAGTTCAGTTAAGAACCTATATTGCATAGCACTCATGACATTCCCATAAAACACTCTGTCCTGATCTTCAGCAGTCAGAGCAGAGTTCCAATTTCTATAGTACCAGTAGCAGTCTGATTGTTCATCTTTCCTTTCCCTTGAGTCTTGAGTGTTGCTCAAATCCCCTGGTCGTGTCCCCAATCCGTATTCTTTCCAGACTGTAATGATCTGTTTGTGCATACATGCTGTTCCCTCACTCCCAAAGGGTCTTGATAACATCTTTTTTTTTTTGCATGCACCAGTTTACCACCAGATGATGCAGAACTGTTCTGGCTGGCTTTTTTTTTTTTTAAGATGTAGAGGCAAATTAATATTTTAACTGATAGCTAACTAACTTTTCAGCCTTTGTCTATATTCATTCACAGATGGTTCCAGTTCTAATAGGAGTGAGTGTGGTTGCTGTAACAGCCATTTTAGCAAAGATATTCCTGCCCAGCTTGTTTGCAAACAAGAAAAAGAGCCCACCCATCACCTTGAAGGATCCAACACTCAAATATTCGCTTAAACTTGTTGACAAAGAGGTCAGTGTGCTACATTTTGTGTTTTACTTTAAGACTTAGTTTCTGTAGTTAAGACCCAAAGATCTTGGGTTTGAATCAACATCGAGAAAATAAAATAAAACCTAACCTTGGGTATCAGGTAGTGTTCTGGGAAGTAAAAGTTGACCACATCACCCAAGGGTCAATCGGTCTGTATATCAGTTTAGCATCATATGCACAAGGCGTGACTATTGTGAAAGGGTCCCTTACTTACTTGTAGATGTGACGACATTACATTTCACATCCCTTTACTGGGATCTGTAATTGCGTTAAACTTTACTCACACAGAGGAAACACAGTTATCCTCAAAACAATATCAGAATGTTATAATTTTTCACATTTACAGATTCTGTATAATTTCAGCTTGTGAATGTTATCATGCCTCACTCTTACAGTCACAGTATAATTTCATCTTTTGAGTGTTATCATGTCTCACACTTACAGTCATGGTATAATTTCATCTTTCGAGTGTTATCATGTCTCACACTTACAGTCATGGTATAATTTCAAATTTTATAACTCACACTTACAGTCATGGTGTAATTTCATCTTCCGAATGTTATCATGTCTCCCACTTACACTCATTATATAATTTCATCTTCCGAATGTTATCATGTCTCGCTTTCAGCTTCAGGATGTTATTATATCTTACATTTACAGACACAGTATAATTTCATTGTCCGAATGTTACCATTTCTCACACTGACAGACACAGTATACTATTAATCTCAGAATGTTATCATTACAGAGATATGATTATAATTTCAGGTAATCAGCCATGATACTCGCAGATTCAGATTTGCACTTCCGACCCCAGACCACATCCTAGGACTCCCAGTCGGTAAGTAACACATCACTGAGTTGGATAAACATTTGGCAGTATGTGTCTGGAAACAAGGACATCAAATTGGCAGCCTACTTACTGTCATCACATGCCTTAGTGACTGGTATAGGTGACACTGTCGTATACCCACATCCTCTACCAGCATGGATCTCTTCGTGTGCTGGTGCCCTTCCATGCCACGATAAAAAGCTGTCAAGAATCTTCTTGCTTTTTTTTTTCTAGCTCCTAATGTAAATCTTTCCATTGTCGCGTGATCATGTTTCTTTCTTCCCCTAATATGGCAAAAAATTATTACTGCCTTTTTCTGATGTTTCTGATAAATTGTCTTTAAATTACTGCTTTTCACTGTCCAGGGAATTTTAGGCATTTGTTTGTAGAACAAATCTCCAAAACCTCAAGAAAACATCTTATTTATTAATTGATCAGTATTCGCATTAATACATTCAAACTGTTTCTATGTCGCAGGTGAGAATAATTTTTCTAACTTTTAGTTGACATGGGTTTATTTCATAAGATGTTCTTTATTTTGTCTGTCCTATTTTGTTCTTTATCATGTTAAATTATTGGCTGTTCTAGAAATGTTATAAAAGCATTTGAGGCCCGTGTTTTTATCACACTTACTGCCAGTCATTTGTGCAGTGTGTTGTGTCCGAATATATTTAAATTTTGTTTTTTAAAGTATTTCTGAATATTGCAAAAATTTCATAAAATATATAATTGAGCATTTACAAAAAAGATATTAGTGGTTCGTCCTTAGGTCGTTTTTTTTTTTTTTTTTGTGGTATATTTTTTTTTTTTTATTGAAATTTTTTTTGTTCGTTTGTTTCAGGTCAGCATATATACTTGACCGCTCGCATCGATGGCCAGCTAGTGATCCGACCGTACACCCCTGTGTCTAGTGATGATGACAAGGGTTTTATGGACCTGGTTGTGAAGGTAAAGGAGATGGTTCTTTCGCAATATCCTACCCCAGATGATGTCACAGGACAGTCCAATATTTTAGAGGGTGGTAAGACTGGGTTTTCCAGCTTTCTGATGCTTTTAATGACCCCAAAACATCTAGAACTGGCCCTCATCCCAACCCACCTACGTCCCATGAAAGAGTGCAGCCTATCTACCACCCCCTGAAATATTAGACTGTACAGTGACCTGTAGATTTTCCCTGTTTGGGGTAGGATATTAAGAAAGCACCCAAGAAATAGTTACTATCACACATCTTTCTTCTTTCACTTCTTTCCATTTTGGAAAATGGGGATCGTCAGCTTAGAAAGATCATTAGTACAGAACAGTAGGGAGGTGATGCGCAGGTCACTTGCTAGGTCTTTGTGGGTCAGATTTGGCCCATGGATCGCCACTTGAATAGCCAGGCAATGAATGATTATTTTAAATTATCTGTGTTCTTTTGTGAAGGCAGAATTGTTTTTAAATACAAGGACACTTGTTTCTGCTCAGGTTTACTTCAAGAATGTTAACCCCAGATTTCCAGAGGGAGGTAAGATGTCACAGTACCTGGAGAACATGGACATCGGAGACTACATAGATGTCCGGGGACCTAATGGACTGCTGCAGTATGTGGGGCAAGGTATGTGGAACTGTACTTCATCTGCACTTATAAATCTTCTTTTCTTTCTTCCCTTCATTCTCCTTGCCATTGCTTTTCAACTGAGAAGGCTCAAGCCTCTGTTGAATGCTGTGGCCTGACACATGTCCTCCATTGATCATTGATCCATGCAGCTTGGCTTCCACATAAATGCAGCTGACAGAGGCTCAGAGAAACGGCAAGACCGGACGTTTAATCAGAATGCTGCTAGCACAATTAGTATCGGAACTCTTCACTGAATGCTAAAGATGGGGACGAAGCGCTTATGGAAATGCCCCGAGTGCTCTGATGTCGGTTCTTGAATCAACTCAACTCACCTCAGAACATTTGGTATGGATCATCATTGGGGTCAGGTTTTTTTGTCTTCCTGTCATATATGTGAGGGGAACTTGAGGTTCTCAAGTCAAGTATTACATATGAGTTACTTGTGTTCGTTGTAGCGGCTGACAAGATCTGTTCTGTTTTGGGGTTTTTCCATCCTTCTTTTGCTCCCTACTTAATACTCTTGATTGGCCTTACCACATTTCTGGTCATGGTTTGCAGATTTCACGTTTATTATTTCATTCTTGTAAACACCTTACTTCTCATACTTCATTCAGTTTATCATGAAAAGATATCAGGTCAGCAAAAAGTTGAACAACATGTAAGCTTTACATAATCACAGATGATAAGTGAACCATGTGGCTAGATAGCCTTCATCAGCAAATTATTTAATTCAACAAAAATACAGAGACACTTAACTGATGTATTCCCAGTAGAAGCCAGTTTGCTGTCTGGCCATTGAATGATACACATGTGTTGATGTCAGGAATATAAACTGTCCCAGGAATGCCAAGGGCTGTAACTCAAAGATATTAGGAAAAAAACTGTGTTGAAGTCCCCTGGGTGAATTTGCACCCAAGAGAAAAATAACAATTCTTGAGAGACTTACAGACTCTGCCACTGGAGTGACTAGTTTTGATGGCCTAACCTCCATGTCGGGGACACCTTCATTCAGTTGATCAGCCTGGTCCATTGCTCATGTGCCCTCCACAGTAGCCTTACTTGCAAGCCTTTCAGCTTTGTTATTTCCCAGGCACACTCTGGGCAGTGTTGTTTGCCAGCCAGGATTAAAGAAAGTCATCACCAATCCCTGATTCTTTGAGGTACAAAAGTAAACAACTCAGTTTGTGGAGTTCAGTTACAAGCTCAGAGAAACTGATGAATGATACTAATTTCTGTACTATAGCATAAGACACTAGCTAACACTAGTCTCACCTCTATTGTATCCATTTACAGGATGTGTTGGGTTACCATTTTAAGCATATTCTCATATAATTTATTGCTTTCTGGAGTTTTCTAGTGAAGTGGCCAAGTCTTTTGCCTTGCACTCTGAAGTTTGTGGGTTAATTTCATTGACGTACCATTCACTTCACAGGTGCAGTTCTTATGGAGATACCTGGAAGTCATTAAAGTCATTAATGGAGTTTGTTCTTTGTGTGACACTCTTGGCAGGTGGCTAGCCATTTTGTGCATTGTGCAGTGAATTCTCTCGCCTTTAACGTTTTAGATTGACTCAAGCACCGGCTTCATAATAAAAGCAAGCGCCAACCATTACCATGTTTCAGAGAGACAAGATAGTAATTATATAATGTTGAATTAAATATCTATATATTAGTTTCATATGAAATAATACTTGCTGTATTCATTATTCCGAACAGGTACTCTGAAGATCAGACCAGATAAGAAGGCAGAACCTCAGACGAAGAAGGCGTCAAAGATAGGCATGATTGCTGGAGGAACAGGTGTAGAATCAGATGCTATTATGTTGTTATTTAATCTCCTGTTTCCCACTTGGTGGTCCAAGGGTCAGGCTAACAGATTTGGGTAGTCCATTATATCACTTATGAAATTCTCCTCAACTGTAAAATGCAGTTTTTTTTTTTTAGATGCACTCTGACTTCGAAAGAAACCCCTAATTAGTCGACACTTATTATTTGCTTGTTAAGAAGGCAGCGGGTCTATATTTTTTTTCCTTCTCCACATTGGGGCCCCAGAACCCACACAGGAAGGTATGACTGTAAAAAAAAATTGGGGTTCGTGTCAGGCCTTCAAAAATAAGAGGGGTCTGCGGATCTTAGCTAATTGGAAGCCACTGGTTTCAGCTGTGGATTGTGCTGAAGCATAGCATCCAGTTTTACATAAACTAAGTATAAAGTCTTGACCCTTATGACCTAAAAATAACAATGCCATTTTGGAATTTAAGTTTCCCGAAAAAATATTCCTTTAATAAAACAACTATTTTACACAGTTCCCCCCCCCCCCCCCCCCCCCCAAAAAAAAACTTCATAAAAATTCAATTTTAAGACGAACAAAATTATGCACTGATGAAATAGGGGTAACCAGTAAAAATGAATGCAGCAAAGAATCCACTGGGTTACACCTTTCTGAGGTTAAATCATCAGTTTTTTAATACAGTGACTCAATTTTGTTGCTGTGACCCAGCTGCTGGAGACTACTATGACTAACAGGAAATGATGACGTCGTATTTTGTATAAATAAAATCAGTTGGTCACAAGAAAACACTGACAAATGCTAGTTTTGAGTAACTGGTGGACCTGTTAAACAGTTGCATGTTTGCAAGCGGAATCCGTTCTGTTAGCTACAATTCTTGTAAACAAGTCGCTACAGTCGCTGGTTAAGCGGCATCCTGGGGCATGATATATACCCGGAGTGCTGGTTTAGGTACTTCCCAAGGTGAAAGGGTTTGGCTATAATTTGGTTCTTATAGACATACACACTGACAAAGGAAGACTTACATTTTGATTCACATCAACAAAATCAAAATATGTGGTAGAGAAAAATAAATACAGTCCATTCTTATACCTGTTCTTTAAAAAAATTCAAATGTTGAAAGTATTCACATAATTTCACTTATCTACTAATGTAGTCTCTCATTTAATGAAAGAAAGAGGATGTTAAAAGTTAAATAGAACCTGTTTTGCTGTATGGCAGCGAATCTTGGGATGTCAGTGAACAAATTAAGAAGAATTTGGAAGCAACAGAGATGAGGATTCTGAGACGAATGTTACAAATATCTTAGACGGCCAGAGTAACTAACAACGATTGCTTAAAGAGGCGAATGAAAGGAGATCTCTATAAACAACAATAAGAAGGAGACAGACACTGTTCTTTGGCCACATAATGAGAAGAGAGACATTGGAGAACATTGTGACAACTGGAAAGATCAGTGGAAAAGGGGGTAGAGGCAGACCAAGAGAGATAATGCTGGATGGGCTGAAACGATGTCATGGAGGGATATCATCAGGAAAGCTGTTCCAGGCAACCAGAGATTGTGATCTGTGGAGACATGAGCACCTTTGCCAGTTACCAGGGCACATGATGATGACTAATATAGTCGGAAGCCATTGTGGTTTAGTGGCTAAGACGCCAGCCTGCTGATCAGAAGGCCGTAGAATGATGTCCTGATAACCAGACTTTTTTTTTAATGACCTTGGCTCCCAGGTCGACCAAGCCTAAAATGGGTACCAGGTGCAGGTGGAAAAGGGGTCCTTTTTTTTTTTTTAAACTACTGGTATCTTTTATTCTTCAAGTTGAATCAATTCCTACACTTCTCTTTTTCGTATTTTTAATTTTTTTTTTTTTTTTTTTTTTTCAAATTTAATTCTGAATATCTGATTGTTTGGGAGTTGTGGTAGCGTAGTGGCTAGATGCTTGTCTGCCATACTGAATGTGTTGGGTTCCAATCCTTATTGAGTTGTGTTCCTTTTTTAAAAAAAAACCTTTATACATATACATTTGGGGGGAGGGGGGGGTGGGGGATTCCTCTGTTCCTTGTTTGATGATAAAGATTTCATTTTAATGATTCCATTTTAATATCTTTTATATCTTTTTTATTTGCCTTTACTGTGTATTATCCTTGAATTGTATTTTACTGATTATTTTCTGGGTACCTTCTTTTTATTGTTCAGTTGTGATAAACTTCATTAAGCTCACTTCTGTTTATAGAGAAATAATGTAATTGTTGTATATATGTGTGACTGTGTTGTGTTTCTTTTCAGGTATCACCCCAATGTTACAGTTGATCAGACAAGTATTCAAAGACCCAGAAGACAAGACAAACTTGTGGCTTCTCTTTGCAAATCAGGTTTGCACAGAATTTTCCACCGCGCAGTATTTCTTAGCAGAGAATGAATGAACATAAAATACAACTCTTGTTCTTAGCATTCGTTGGCTGTCATCTCCAGCTGAAAGTTCTGGTTATTCATCCATTTCTGGACTTTAATCTTGTTACAGAACTTGACTTTGGTGTGAATATTCATTGTATGGATCTGACTTAACTTGTATGCAGTCGTTTTTGATGCAGGTGTATTCTGACTTTGAAGGAAAACCCCCTAATAAGAAGTCTTTTATGACATGCTTAAAGGGATGGGGGGGGGGGGGGGGGTCCTCAGAAGTAACATGAGGAGAAGGGACAGATAATTTAAAGACATTTCGGCCTGAGTGATTTTTTTTTAAATTTAATACTTAAGAACAGACACTGAATAAAAAAAACTGCACAGAAAAATAATCACCATTTTGGTTGTGTTCATGGATAAGGTTTTTGTTTGCCCTCTCCCCAATCATGTGCAAATACACATGATAAGCGTTGAATTTAAAAAAGAAGAGATGACTGTGTTATTATACCGCTCCTGCTTGTTTCATCTGTTGTGTAACATGTTGGTTTGTAGTAATTACATAATATCCCATTATTTTAGATTTCCATGGAAGAACTGCTGAATTTTTTTTAATTATTATTATTAAAGGAGAGAGTAGCTGCGCCACCCTAAATAAAGTCTGAGAGTCTGTGGCATAGGTATTTTAAACCTTACACAGAAACATGCTAAAGTTCACATATTGACCTCTGAATTAGTGAGGCACATAGCTATATGCGTCCATTAAAAGATGAACAAGATAATGGTTAAGAGTTAAACTTTAGAAATAACTGTTTTGTTTAGTTTACCTTGAAAGAATTAACAGTACTTGCATTGGAGTGACCAGAAGATCTGGTACACAATCAGTGCTCAGAGGAGAGGCAAGATGAATATATAGTCTACATCTACAGCTGCCATCATTTGTTTGGAACTCTGTGCTGGCTGTGTAGATGTGGACAGGGCATTCATATGAATGCCCAGACTGCATTGATGTCGCTTCTTCACTTTTAGCCTACCTGTTGAGTAATGAAGCAACATCACAGCACCTGTAAATTTCCATAAGCTCTTCTGTCCTCATCCCCCAGCAGTCAATAAAGAGTTCATTGATGATGGTGCTAATGGCTACTTCTTAACTCTATTGATTTTTCCAATCGCAGACTGAAGATGATATTCTGCTGCGTCCTGAGCTGGAGGAGATCCAGAACAACCACCCAGACCGCCTACATTTGTGGTATACTTTGGACAAGCCAGGAAGTGGTGGTGCGTCTTGTTTTTTCTTATGTGATTGTAAAAATTTGTAGATTATAGTGAAGAAATGTCTTTGTCAGTGTGTGATAAAGATGGGTTCTTAACCCCTCAGGTAAGTAATTTGGATTATCTTGGTAGGTAGCTTTTGTAGTGGGTACTTATTTCCAGACTGCCTGAGTTGCATGCGGTAACTCACTATACCCACTAGATACCAGCTGTAGAAAGTCGTAACAAATATATCTATCGTACCTACTGAGAAAACACCTAGTCATAGTGTGTATTTATACATCACACTTACTGAGAGCTTCTTTTCCTCACCTCTTCTTTATTGGTAGTAACCATATATGTACTGTGCTTACACACTAGCTACATGTTGACTGTTTTTTTGCTGTAAAGAACACAAAATGTGTAAACATTATTAACCACAATCATTTTTCATGACAGGTTGGAAGTACAGCTCAGGCTTCATAAATGATGAGATGATCAAAAGCCACTTGCCCCCACCGGGCCCCGACACAGTGATCCTCATGTGTGGCCCCCCACCCATGATCAACTTTGCTTGCATTCCCAACTTGGACAAGCTCGGCTACAAGCCAGACTCCAGGTTTAGCTACTAGAAGCCTGTAGTGTGTTGACAAGACTGTCTTCAAAAGTATTATCTTTGCCTTACAGAATTATTTAGTTTAGATAAGACTATAGCAGTATACATATTGGAGGACTGATTGCAAAGACTGTTTTAAGTTTATTATTTCTTTGTTTAATAATCTAGTGGCGGTTTAAGAAAGAATAGCAGAAGAGGTAGTCGTCGTCCTGCTTGACAATGGACACAGGTTATCAAGGGCACTGGATGTTCATGAGGCAGGAAAGTTGACAAAGAACCAAGTGATGAATGAGTTTCTGAGAAGAGCATGCTCCGTGATGAATGAATGTAAAGGATTAGTCCTTACAGTCATTAAACAGACACTCGTCTTCTTCGCATTCACCATCTGTAAACTCTGGCGGAAAGTTCTGGGGTTTTGTCCACTTCTGGAATTTAGTCTTGTCCCAGAACTTGAGTTTTATGTGCACATCTATTTTACAAATCTGGCTTATTTGTTAGCAAATTGTTGGTTCCTTATCTCTCAGACAGATGCACCCTAACCTTGAAGAAAACTCCCTAAGTAGTCACCTTATATGACATGCTTGTTGGAGAGAAGCGGGTCTACTTTTTTTAGTTTTTTTTTTTTTTTTCAAAATGTTGCTCTGGAATGCAAATTGAAATAGGAAACAAATGGATAAAGGAAACGGGGACATCTAAGAGAAACCCTAAAATGAACGTTCGTGAGAGAGATCAAAGGTGCTAGACTGGATTCCATCGATGATATCGAAATGATGACAGGAATAGAATGGAATGGAGGCATGTACTGCTAGCCTTATGTGACATGTAATGGCACAATATGGTGATGATTACAATATGTGAAGCACTCTTCATATTATATATTGAACTGAGACTAACATTTATCATCTTTTCTTGATTTGTTTTGTTATTTCTCTTTTTATAACCAGATGTTAATGTGTGTTTGTTTTTTTTTTTTTTTTTTTTTATATTCACTTTTGTATAACCAGATGTTCGCTTGATAGTATAAAATTATGGTATACCAACATGGTTTTGTTATTGTTTATGTAACGAGTAAATAATGAATGCATTTATTTGGTGCATATATTGTGTGGTTATAGCATCTCAATAAAGCATGTTTTGGAACCATTTTTAGTTTGTTTATGTTTAATTGTGTGGTGGTGTTATATATTGTTTATATATTGTCAATAATTTTAAAAAAATTTAAGCATGGCTAAACTTCAGAACTTTGCCTGTGTGGACAGGTACCCTAGAAAGTTGAGATCTGTGTGCAGTACTGAGATGCCAGGTCTGGGCATTCAGCATTGTAAGCTGTGGATCAGTGGACATTGATCACACTGCCGCCTTCAAAGAAGTCTGTGGCCTTCTTATATCAAAAACACTGGCAGGGAGAACAAACAGAAGAAGATAATATAGGAAGTACTTGGTCGCTCTAGTCTAGCTGGATTTCATCGAAGGAATGGAATAGAGGTATGTACAAACAGAAGAAAACAATATAGGAAATACTCTGCCACTCTAGTCAAACTGGATTCCATCGAAGGAACGTGTTGGAGGCATGAACAAACAGAAAAAAACAATATAGAAAATACTCGGTCACCCTAGTCTCATTAGATTCCATTGAAAGAATGGAATGGAGGTATGTACTTCTTTTCTTCTGCCTTTCTATCCCCCAATGGAGCATAGGCCCTCAACCAACTCACGCCAAGTCGTTCTATCCTTCGCCATTGCATGGAGCTCTCCCCATGTCCTCCCAATCTTTCTAACCTCGTTCTCCAGCTCTCTTCTCCATGTGTTTTTTGGCCTTCCTTTATTCCTATGCCCCTGTGGGTTCCAATGCAAAGACATTCTAGTTATGCTGTTCTCCTGTTTTCTCAGTGTGTGCCCTATCCAACGCCAGCGTCTTTTCCTCACTTCCTGATCCACTGGAGCCTGTTTAGTTCTCTCCCAAAGTTCTACATTAGTTATTCTATCATACCATTTTATTCCCTCTATTCTGCGCAGGCACCAGTTAATGAATGTTTGTAATTTTTTAGTAATTGCATTGGTTGTTCTCCATGTTTCCGCCCCATACAATAGCACTGATTTGACATTAGAATTAAAAATTTTTAGTTTAGTATTTCTTTTAATTTCTTTTGACCTCCACAAATTCCCTAGTGCTATAAAAGCCCCTCTTGCCTTTTGTATTCTTATTTTAATATCTCTATCAGTTCCTCCATCTTTATCTACATTACTGCCTAAATAGGTGTACGACTCCACGTCTTGGAGTGGGGTGCCATTAAGAGAAACCACATTACTATTTGCCTGATTTATTCTCATTATCTTTGTCTTTCCTTTATGGATTTTCAGACCAAGCTGCTTTGATCTCGCATTAAGTATATTTAATTTATCTTGCATCTGATTCCGTGAATGGGACAGAAGAGCAATATCATCAGCGAAGTCCAGATCATCAAGCTGTTTTGTAGGGGTCCACTGAATTCCATTCTTGGTGTTAGCAGTTACTGTTTTCATAGTCCAGTCTATAGCCAGTAAAAATAAGAGAGGCGACAAAAGACATCCCTGTCGCACACCTGTTTTTATTTCAAATGCATCTGTTAGCTTTCCCTCATGAAAGAACTCAACATTTTCATGTCTTTATATGTTGCCTTTACTAAGTTGATAATTTTTCTGTGGGATTCCATAGTGCCCCATCAATTTCCAGAGAGATTCCCTATCTATGCTGTCAAATGCTTTTTCATAGTCTATAAATCCAATGTAAAGTGGTGAGTTTCAGTTCATGCTTTGCTCTATTATAATACGTAATGTGGCTATCTGATCAATACAGGATCTGTTTGACCGAAAACCTGCCTGCTCATCTCTTAGCATTTTATCAGTAGCATCTTTTTAATCTTTCCAAAATAATTCTACTTATATTTTTCCAGGAACTGACAGCAACATAATTCCTCTATAGTTTTCACACTCCTGTAGATCACCTTTTTTGGGCAGTTTCACAAGATATCCTTCTCTCCAGTCCTGCTGGTATTTCTTCGGTCTCCCAGACTTTTACTGAATAATCTATGTAGCAATTCTGTTGATGTGTTTATGTTGGCCCTGATGGCTTCAGCTGGGATACCGTCTGGGCCTGTCGCCTTTCCTTCCTTGAGAAGATTTATAGCTTTCCTAATTTCATCTTTGGATGGTATCTCACAGTTGATATCCAGTTCCATTTCTAAAGGCTGGATATCTGGGGGAACCTCTGGGCCTGGTCTATTCAGAAGCATTTCAAAATATTCAACCCATCTGTCCATTTGATCTTTAGTGTTAGTAAGTACCTTTCCTTGACTATTTTTGATTGATCCAGTTGGCTGACTATATTTACCTACTAATTTTCTTGTGTTACTGTAAAGTTCTCTGAGGTTTCCTTTTGCTGCTGCTGTCTCTGCTTCTTGTGCTAGATCTTTTAGATATCTCACTTTATCTGCCCTTATATGCCTCCTAACTTCCTTGTTGGCTTCTGTGTATTTCTCCTGAGCTCTAGCTTTAGCAGCTCTAGTTTTGCTATTGTTTAATTCTGCCTTTTTACTTTTCCTATCTTCAGTCAGTTTAATGGTTTCTGGTGTTATCCATGCTTTATGTTTCGGAGGTATGTACAAACAGAAGATAATATAGGAAATACTCTGTCCCTCTAGTCGAACCTGCCTGCTAGGACAGCGCTTGAAGCACTCTAAAGATGTACAGTTATGTTTGGCTATCTTCACGTTACTCTAGACATGTCCATAGGTGCTTAGGTCCCCTCTTCAACATACACATCAGCGCTCTGCAGTTAATACATCCATTTCTTCACTGGTTAACAAAACTTCTTGCACGGCCACTGTACACATATATCTTCACTCCCGGTTCTTGCAAACTGTTCCTTCCCAAAACGCTGAATGGCAGAAGTGGAAACTGATGATTATTAAAAAAAAAAATTAAAAAAAAAAAAAAAAACAGGTTTGAACAACGGATCGACATCTTGGCACACGGGTAGTAATAAGTGCTCCGTTCTTCTTCTAACTCAAGTCCAAGTCCGAAGAAGTTCAGCGTAGTGTACCGGCGAGGATCCTGAAATACTTTGGGTAGATTTTTAACTCCAATTTTTTCCCGGGCAGCGCCGTTAGGCTACTCTTTTTCGATTTCCAACTGCCAAAGGATTTTTTTTACGTGCGCAACAATGCCACTGTTGCAGAGCCAGTGCACTGTGCTGAGTGAGCTTCTTCCTACCCAGAGACCAGGGGGAATACTAAAGTCCAAGTCACATGAAAAAATCCCAGCCCTTACCGGGGATTGAACCCGGAACCTTTAGTATTCGAGGCGGACACTATGTTTCGAGACTACGCAACCCCCTATAAAGCAGCTAAGCTTTATTCATATCATGCAATGGTGCTCTGAAAGATGAGTGCTTCGAAGGGCCGAAGGTAAGACGGGCGTGCGTTCCCAATTTGTAACCCTTTGAAAATAAGGTTATATCTATCCACGGCCAGCTCTAGTATTAGAGAAGGCAGTGTATCTATCCATCCATCCATCTGACCGGATGGAAAGATTCGAAATTTTGATTAGGGTTAGACGAATTGGCCGATGAATGGGTGCAATGGTTGGATGGACGTCCCGACTGTCGTCGGGGGCGCAAGATAACCTAACGCTTGAACGGGGTTTTCTGGGACTTCTGCCCAGGGAAATTCTCCACCGAATAGGGGTTTTCTTTGTGTAGCCGTGTGTTTATTCCTCGGTACAGGGTCCTGGTTGGCGTTGGACGGCACTCATTTACCTATCAAAGTAAAATACTTCAGCCGTATTAAACGTCATAGGGGCTTGGGGACAAGAGCAATAATGGAGGGTTTGATTCTTGGAAGAATCGCCAAGGGGCGACCAGCACGATGGTGGATGCAGAAAATGGACACACCGGACATTAGATTTCGCGAAAAGATATCAAACCAGTCGAAAAATAGTATTAGTCTGCTTCACATTATCACAGTCATAAATGAAGCG